TATTAGTAGTAGTTTTAAAGTGGTCATTGCATCACTATAAATGCAGAGTTGGTAATTTATGAACTAAATTTAGAAACACTCTTTAAGACAGATTCTTAATTTTGATTTTGTGGCTGAATTGCAGGAGGTAGATAATAGTTCTGAAATTACATGCTAAATGTTGTACCATTGTACATTTTCCTTGAATGATGTCCATAGTTTTCATCAGACTCTCAGATTATGTAAAGATTAAAAGCCCCAAGTTTTTTTTCATAAGGGTAACTTATAGATAAAAGGTCAAGAAATCCTTTCCCAGCCAGTTATCACTAAAGTTCTCCTAGCAGTTACAGATAACAACTTCCTCCAGGATACATGGAGGGGTGTGGATTTTGTTCAGAGTTTAGCTCTGTCCTGGTTTCATTTTACTCAAGATTCTTGTGAGGTCTGTTGGTGAGAGTAAGCAAGTTCTCTGCTTCCCTTGGTGAGCTCTTCTGGGCCTTACTGGGTTCTGGGTTTTCCTTCTCTGTGCCTTGTATTATTCAAATATCTATAGTTGTGTAGTCTTAGTCAAAGGATTCCTGCATTGACTTGACTTTCTCGTACTCTGTACTCTTTGAGTTAAGTGACTTTCCCTAAAGAGAAGGTACAGAAAAGAGATGACTAAGGAACCATTTAATATGTAATAACTAAAAAGTATGTTGGGAATGGATAGTGTAAAGAAGAGCGTAAACTGAGAACAGATTAAATTGGGTAGAAAAAATTAACTCTTGCAATTCAGACTACAGAATGCCATAGTCATAACACTCAAGTCATATCTGGTCTGGGAAATTTGTTTTGTATGCAACTAAACTGAAGGAGATCAGAGTTTAGCACAGACTTTTCAACTGCAGTTCTATGAGTTGGGATGTTCAGGACTAAGATCCCAGAGCGCCTTTTGTATTGGAGTCAGGGATGTTGGAAGCACTAATTCTGGGGAGATGAAACTGGCAGAAATGGGGTAAGGACACTAACTACATACCCTAATTGAGAACTAGGACCAAACTCAGACATACTGAAAAGTATGGGAGCTAGTAGAGAGGCTGAAACTTGCTGTTTACATAGATTTTAAGGGTCTTGGTTCCCCCTAGTGATACTGTGTCCATAGCCTCTCATAAGTAAGATGAAAGTTTCATGAATTTTCCACATCTGATGTTCATTGAGTTGTCCCCATTAAAACTGAGCCTGAGGACCTAGATCTTACTATTAGTTAGCAGATAGGGAGAGGCCAGAGTTGAGGTAGACTTAGAAATAGCTGGGAAAGGCTTGGTAACCATTGGTATTTGGTTTTGTTAGGAAAAGTAGATGGAGGAGTGACATAAACAGATGAAGGCAAGTCACGATTCAGGACCTAGCAGCCAATGTTGACTGCTTCCTGTCTAAGCCCTTACTCATCTAGTACTTTTTGTCTTTGGCAGCCCTCTCTGGGAGATGGTGCAAGATGGTATTGACCTCAAGAGCATCAAGTGGACCCAGCACTAGAATGAAACTCTTGACTTTGTGCTGGCCTGGCCCCTCCTGCTGACCCATGCATAGCTGAACACATTTTTAAACCAATGGCTACTCCATGTTAAGACCAAAATTGCTGTACTCCAGTTGACTTCAGCATCAACCCATCTCCAACACAGAAATACAAAATTATCTTTCCTCTGACTCATTGGGAAATGCTTACCATTTTTCTCCAGGAGTCTTTGTCTGGTCTTACAGTACATAGATGTTCTCATCTTGAGACATTTGGACATTTGTTACGATGTTGCTTTATCCTTGGTGGGGAGAACCAAAGGAATTGGGAAAAGGGTCTATGTTCAGGGACCCCAGTGCTCTACATGAACATTTGAGTTGTCCCTTACTGCTGCTCAGTGAAACTGACTTCTTCAGGATCAAGCATGATCAACTATAATTTAATCTTTTTTTGGTTCCAAAAGACACCTCTTCATATTAATTACAGACCAAACAGCACATTTCTCAGAAGGCTTGCATCTTTTATGTTCTTTATGTCCTTTTTTTTGACCTAACAGCTATTAATATCTATATGACTATATTCATTGTTCTAATAAATTATGTTTCTTTTAAAAATTAATTTGTAGATTAGAAGAATAAAATCCTCTTTCTCTGCTTACACTGACTTTATGAGAGGCTCAGGGAAAATTCCCAGATGCAATTGGGACTTGTGAAACAGGCTACCTACTACTTCACTTGGTTTACATAGATGTTTCAGTCTATTTGCATAACTCTTCATTTACCAGTTATTTTAGTGCCTTTCAAGAGCCTGACATTATTCTAGATTTTGGGGGAGATACACTGGTTAGCAGTATCAAACGGCTTCTGACCTCACTGAACTTTCATTTAATGAAGAAATAGAAAATAAAACGTAACTATTAAGTATTGTGATAAATACTAAAAAAAGAGAATGATCAGAGGAAATGCAAGAGGAGCCCCTATTACACTGGGAGTACTGGGAAAGTGTTTTTGAGAGGCATTACTTAAGCAAAATATGATTTCCAGGAATGGAAAGAGATAGGGATTGGTAAGGGATGAGAAGGAATAGCAAAGAGCAGTGGACCTGACATGTGAAAGAATACCATTATTTTGAAACACCAATAGAAGGCGAATGCAGAGAAGAATTTTCCCATTTGTATCTGAAGCCATAGCTGGGTAGTTGCCAGGACACACACACACACAAAGGGCGTTGGGGGGAAGAAAAAAATAAAGTACAGCACAGCTATTTAAGGCAATTTACTTTGATAATATATTTGAATGTTTGAACCAGATTAGTAATATGTAGATGATGATAAAAAAATACTTGACGGGGGGGGGGGGGAAGGGAGGGAAATGCACGGGACTATGGTGGTGGCACAGGGGTGATTTGGTGATGGGAAACCCGTGGGGATTACAATTGAGATGAAAAAAAAAATGTACAAAATGATGTAAAAATAAACTTTAAAAAAAAAAAATACTTGACAGCTATCACCTGCCATGCTGACATGAGTTTGATTCCTGCCAGGGAGCTAGCACACATGGCACAGCAGACCTCTTCTCTGCCTCCAACTCTGCTTCCCTAAGCAGTATATTTCAGTAGATCTACCTTTTCTATTGCTCACTATCTCACTTCCCCACCCCTGGCACCGCAGGCCTACACCCCAGTTCTGGTATGCCTAAATAAAAATAAATCTTAAAAATAAAAACAAAACTTGATAGTCACTAGGGTAAAGTATGATGAATTCAGGGGAAAACAAGAGGAGATGAAATTAAATATTTTTCTAAAAGATTTATTATTTATGCATACAGAACTGGTATATAGGCCAGAGGTGCAGGGGCAGTGAGAGGATTCACCAGAGACAGAGCAGGGAGCAGAACAGGCGGATTGATGAAGTACACAGCTGAGGGGAGCTGTGGGCAAGACAGGAGAGGTCTGTTGCACCATGTGGATCACCTCTGCAGCCCGGGATCAAACTTGCACTAAAGCGACTCTGGCTAGCTTGCAGTGCTGTGTCCTAACCCATTGCGTGCATCCACTGTTGAACTTTTTCTAATTTTTTAAAACGATTACTTATGCATATAAAACTGGGGTACAAGCCAGTGGTGCAGGGACAGTAAGAGGATTCACCAGAGCAGAACAGGTGGACTGAGGAAGTATACTGCTGAGGAGAGAAGTGGATGGATGAGGAGAGGTCTACCACATCATGTGGGTCACCTCCAGGGCGGGGATCAAACTCAGGCTGAAGTGGCTTTAGCTTCTTAGTGCTGTGCACCAGGGAGGGCCCGAATTTTCTCTAATTTTAACTCTCAAAATTACATCTATGTCAAAAGAGGTGAACATCAGTACATCGTTAATAATGATTAAACTTTTTTTCAAATTTTCATAACTTACCAATCTTTTTTCTGTTTTAGGATTCATTTTTGAATATTGCATTTGAGTTGGTAGGTTTTGTTTTGAATGCACCAGGTTATAGTTGCAGAGAGTATATCCACTAAAGTACAGTAGATGTTAGAATATCTATTAGAATATTTGTTATGGTGAGCAAAAATATCCTGGCACATGTTGTCCTTAGTAATGTCATTTGAGGACATACTTTTGTTATACCTTCCTTTTGTTTAAAATCATAGTTTCTATCAACCTACCCACAAAATTCTCATTCCAATACTATCCACAATGTTGAAGTAAGGATTTACTATTTAGTTTAAAAATGTGTCCTGATTTTAACATTTACTGTTATCATTTTTGGTGTAGTGTGCTAGCACCACACAAGATAGCTATACAGACTCACCAAAATTTTGTTGGGAGTGTGGAAATTTAGGCCCTCATTTTGTTAGTTGACTCCTCACATTCTAACTTGGAAGAGTGTTCAATTATGGTGAGGGTCATTCATTAAGATACAGGATATAGGTCAGAGGCATGGAATCTGGAGGCCAGGACCAAAGCGAATGACTTTTTTTTTCATGCATGCATAGAAGAACTGGAGTGTAGGCTAGAGGGGATGTGTGTGTGTGTGTGTGTGTGTGTGTGTGTGTGTGTGTGTGTGTGAGAGAGAGAAGAGAGAATTCACCAGAGACAGAGAAGGAAGAACAGCAAAATTCTGAATTACTGAAGTACTGAATTACTCTGCTGCGCAGTATGTGGGTTTGTTCCCTGGTTGAGGATGGAACTGCTCAAGCTGCATAACAGCGCAGGCCACCAGGGAGCCCCGACAATGAAATTTTTTACAATAAAGTGATATTAATTTGTAACTGTGGAGGGGTTAATGAGGAAGAAATTTGCACACCGGCACAGAGGGGCCTAACCAGATAGCCAAACCAATGCCATAGCGTCGGTTCAATCTCCTAAATCGATATTAGTGCGCACAAACCGGCTGCTCTGATTCAAAGAACCACCACCCCGCCCCTCCACCCCCAACTTCCGGGAGAATGCCTGAAATCATCGGCGCGCTTGCGCAGCTCCGCCCCGTGACGTCAACCATTCCATCCCTCCCCTTCTGGAACGCGGAGCTGCTGAGCGGGCCGGCGGCCATTTTGTGAAGCGGCGAAGGAGGTGGTTGCTGCTGTGGGCTCCGGGAAGCCGTTCGGGCTGGGGCTGTCGGCCGCGGGGCGGAGGCACTCGCGTGGGGGGTAATTCGGGTCTGGGTTCGGGTACCGCGCAGCTCTCCCCGGTAAGACTCCCGCAGCCCCAGAACGGGCGGGGCTGTGCGGGTCTCGAGCCGCCCCTTGGTGGCCCGGGGCGGGGCCTTCGGAGGCCTCCGAGCCCGCCGCAGCGAGCTCCCCACACAAAAGGTCGGGGCATGGCTGCGGGGGGCCTAGGGTGCCACTTACGTCTTTGAAGCCTGAGAGGCTACAAAAAGGACGCAAGGGAATGAGCCTGCTCACCGAAGTAGGGTCGAGGCCAGAGCGAGGACGCCCCTATGGTGTGAGAGGGAGGAGGCCAGAGCTGGGTGGCTCGGCGGCCGGCGAACTAACTAGTGAAAACACACACCCCAAATGAGCAAGACTTTCTGTGCCTCCAAATGGAATAGAGACTGTTAACTACCGCTGCCCTGATGTGAGATGTTCGTAGTGAGGACACTCCCACCCCCGCCCCCCGAAGTAGAAAGTAGGCCCCCGTGGCCTACCAGAAAACGGGGACTACAAGTTGGCCACACCTGTGGGGAGGAAGCTGTTAGTCGGTACACTCCTGTGCGTCTAGGAAGGAAGTCTCAGAGCCGGCCATGGCCTGAAAATGTAAGGGATTCAGTGAAATGCTTCCAGGGTCCAGTGCTAGGGGGGGTTTAACTTGGTGGCTCTCGCAGTTTTGGAAGCCAGCCTTGGCTGCGAGTTAGGCCGATTCTGCTTCCTGGACCCCTGAAAATTGCAATAGGATGTTAAGTCTTGGTCCCTAAGTAGAGAAAGGACTGCTACTAGCAGCATCTTCACGGCTCCCTTGGGAGAGCCTCGAGCACTCAAAGAAGGTCCAGTGGGACGTGACGGGTGGGTGCGGAGAGTGAATTGAGTTTCTCTAGTGAAGACTGGATTGCTAGTTTGCAGCCCTGTGAAATGTGGGGGAGTTAAGTGACTGCACCCTAGTACTGGAGGCTTAGCTGCTAGGTTGAGTGAATGGACTTAAGTTGAGCTTCCAAATGTGTGCTTTTTAGTGAGAAGTGTGAGGGGCTTCTGTGAGCATTACGCTGGCGTTATTCATTGTCTGGAATTTGTTTTCTGATAGTTGCAAGCTTCATAGATTTTTGGATCCTAAAAACCTGTTTGGCTTCTGGATTCCCAGAGATGACCCAATGAGAAGTGGGGTAGTTGGCAGGAATCATTTTGAATTATTCTAGAGTGATTACAATCGGTATAATCTACTGGAAAAAAGTGATTGCGATGAAGGTTGAAGGAAAGACTTGAGAGTTGAGTGTTTCTTGCTTGAATGGTTTAAAATGGAGTAATTTTTGTGAAATGCTGTCAGTAACATGAATTGCCTTGGACCTTGTATTTGGTTTTATTGTTGATGCATTTCAGAGCACTTACAGTTGAAAAAAATCCACAGGTCTGGACATAACAGGCCCTTTTTTTAAAAAATAGAAATATGATACAAGACTGGTTGTACTTGTTTTTGAAATCTGGTAGTTTCAGTGGAATGGAGGATTTCTGGACTTAGTAGAAAGTAGTTGTGTTCAGGAAGTTTCCAAGAATACTAAAAAAAAGTCGGAAAGAACTGTTAACAGGTGGTCAAATAATTTCATGGTAATTTTTCAAGAAAATGAAATGTTTGGCGTGTTTATATAAAAGTTAAGGATGTGCTTGGTATCACTGAAGAAATGTTTTACAAACGGAATGCATTTTCATGACACTTTTGTATGCTTCATTAAATATTGATTATGGTTTTTAATGCATAATTTCAATTTTTTTTAATGTTCATATCTGTTAGGTGAAAAACGTGAAGCTCTAGAAACCATTGTGGTAGTTACTTGGGACATACTGTTGTGTCAATATCAGTATGCTTTAGGCTTCTCTCACTTCCTTTGCCATGCCAAATGTTTTGATTATTGCATATTTAGAGTTTGGGGGTTGTTGGTACAATTTTAGATGCAAAACTTGATTTTGTCAGCCAGTGTGCCCTAGGTACTGAAATCTAGTGACCATACTGTTTTTTTCCTTTTGTAGAAAGCCACTTCATTCAGTTTAGATGATTATTTTCTTCCATAGATGCTGTAGTAAGAACTTCTGTCAGTGATTTGGTTGCACAAAAGATGCCTTTGGATGTCCTTTCCTTGAAGGATTGTTGTCAATTTTTTTAATCTACAGTTTCCACAAGCACTTGATAAATGTTCATAGAATAAATTAATAATATTGCTTTAGCTACTAGCTTCAGCTAGTTTTTTGTTTGTTTTTATAAATCAGGTTTTGCTTACATCACCCAGTACCTTTTGGTTTGCCTAGAGTCTGTTAACTTTATTACTACATTAAGTTTAAAGCCAGCTTTTAAACCTTAACACTAATAGAGAGGGTGAATATGGTGGGCTAGGTTAGAAGTAATGTTGCTTTTAAGTTTAAATGAAGATGTTAGTGAACATATATGTTGGTATTTGCTGGGGGAGGGTTTGAAAAGTGTCTTTTTCAAGGAAATAAATATTTTAACTAGAAATGTATTCTGAGTACTGACTGTAGTTTAATGGAAACGTTGAGTAAATGCTACAAAAGGGATACATTTCAATTAGCATGGGAAGAATTGTTGCAGTAAGAATAATCCTAGAATCTAAAATGTGATCCATTTGGGATGGGGACAAAATCAAGTGGACAAAGCTGTGTGTTTCTTGTATTTTTTTTTTTTAATGCCTACCATAATGTGATTATGTTGCTTGTAGCATTGTGCCTACTATGATTGGTTTTCTGTTGCTCATTGCTGAGGTAAATATTTGAGAGATACTTTCTTTTGAATATGAAGATCTTAGCTGTGCTGTACCCTCGTTCTTGATTAAATATTGATAACTATACAAAATTAATTTTTACTTTTGGATGTTTGTTACCAAGTGAAGAGTGGGAATGGTCAAGTTTTCATTTGTGCCTTGGCTTCCTGATAAAGAATATTGTCAGGCATTCTGAAATTTCAAGAGACTGCAGTGGCTAATACATGAGGAACTCTGTCTTATTTTAGTAAACTGCTAACTTTGTAATTTGTGCATGTACCTATATTTGTAAAGCTGAAGCAACACAGCATCGGTTAAGAGTAATTTGTGACACAACGTGGAAAAATATATTAATGCAAGTTTTCTCATTTTAGAGCTTCTCAGATGTATTAGTGGATTTAATGGCAAATGAGTTCCATTTTTTTCTCTCCTATCTTAATCTTTTATGTATGGGTAAATATGTATTTTCTGTGTTTTGCATACAATTATTTTAGTATTATCTTGTAAAATTCACTAAAGCTTAAGGTGATTTTCATCTTGTTTGGTATCCTGCATTCATTCGGTTTCTAACTTAAATTTAGCAGAAGGAATGGGAAGGTCCCTGAAAACCAGTGGTGCATCTTTTTTTTTATTGTGTTATTTGAGAAAGTGAGGTATTAATTAAAAGCACTTTATGTGTTAGTTTCATTCTACTTTGCCCACTTGAAGAGATGCAATACCATGAGTTATCAGGCTTCTAGCCTGAACTTTCAGCATACTTTTCTTTGGGAAGAGTTGAAGCTTTTCTTCTTCTGAAATAGAAAACTCCCAAATATATGTCTAGATTGATTTTGTACTTTAAATTGAACATGTAAATTTGAGCTGAGCCTTTCAACTTTTCCTGTGAAATAAGGCAATTTGTCATTGTTACAGCAATTTCTGGCAGTCCTGTAGAAATTATAAGAGTAGACCTAATGAGTTTCCTTTGGGCTTAGTGATTGACTGGGATATTGTTCCTCTTCATGTAGACATATGGTTCTGTCTTGGGTCTAGAAGGAAAGAAAAAGGTGGAGGAACCTATTTCCTTTACCTTCAGGCACGTGTCCTGATCCCAAGCCAGACCTTGTGAATTGAATTGGTATTTTCACTTGGGTATCATAATTGATCATAAATGCTTACCTAGAAAATTACACGCTTGTAGCTCATAGAGTCAAACCTGTACATTTGGCAGTAAATAGAGTGGCAGAAGTTCTCTGCCCACTTGTGTCTTTTCAGGTGCCTCTTCCTCCCCCCCCCCCCTTTTCCTAGTAAACCTGTTCTTTTAGAACATAAAAATAAATATTGCAGTAATAAGTTTTACATAAATGGGCTTTTTTTCTTTATCACATTCCTTTTTGTGACCTGTTAGATAAACACCTAATGTTGCTTTTAAATGAAGAGTTTAATACTCTTTAGATTTAATTAGGATTGAATTGTACAACATATAAAACTATTGATAAATTGCTTTGGGCTATTGAAGCGTGAGCAACAACATATTTGAATAAATTCTAGTGGCAAAAAATCTCACTGTTTTTAGTAATTTGAATAGTAGTTTAGAAGATGTTTAGAAAACTTGACTGGTGGAGCAAGGGGTGAAAGCACAGCACTGTGAAGCTATCCGCAGCCAGTTGCTTCACAGTGTTCTATCCCTGGCCATGGAGGTTACCCACAGGGTACAGCAGACCTCTCTTCTCCTGACCTGCCCGCTGCTCCCTTAGTAGTGTGTTTCAGTAGATCTGCGTGTTCTCACTGTTTCTGGTGAATCCTCTTACCACCACCCCAACCCCTGCCCTCTGCACCTCTGGCCTGCACCCCAGTTCTTGTATGCATAAATAAATAAGTCTTTAAAAGAAAAAGAAAACTTTGAACATAGTTGTTTAGTCATTTGGTCATATACATTTGTTGTGAATTGTTCATAAATTCACCATTTTGGGAGAAGTTCCAGTGATAGATGAGTAATCTTTTACTTTGGGAAATAATATTCTGATACTTTAGGGGATTTTTTTATTTTTACAAGTTTCTTGGGACTTTAGTGTTAGAAGAAAAAGTACTTAATAATTTGAATCCCAGTGGTTTTAACTAGAAATTAGTCCTTATAGCCAGAACTTTTGCTTAAGTTTTTTTTTTAACATTTTGATTCTATTTTGGTGCAAAAGAAAGTCTATTGAAGGATTAATCGCAGCAATTTCTATAAGTGTCCTTGAATTGATGACTTACTTAGTTAAGGAGCTGTTGTTGTGCAAACTTGTGGTTTTTCATCGAAATTTTAATGGAAACCTGAGGACCTAGGTAGCAGTTGGACTTGTATATGACATTTTCTGGACTGGTTTAATCAAGTGATGAAAGCAATATCTGTGTGAAATTTGAGTGTTTATGACTCTTAGTTTTTAATTGATTCATTCATGTGTTAATTCTGACACAATATATTGAGTATGTAAATATATAATGTTTTCAGAAATACTTGAATTTGAAAATATACCAAATAATAAATAAGCATGTGTGGAACTTTGGTACATCTTTCTTAATTTTTTTTCCTTTTTTTGATAATGCATTCCAATGAAGTACTCTGGTGGCTTCAGACTCGCCTTCGTAATATACAGTTCAGTGTGGCCTGTGCGTGTTTGTGTTTCCTGCATTGATTTTGCCTCCGTTTATTCTCTATTGCAGTCTAAAAGTTGGTTTTAATTGGTTGCCCACAGGATTGACTTGGCCTCTACTTCTTGTTAAGAAAATACATCTCTTGTTTTATCAGGTAAGAGATTTTGAATAGAGGGTATGTTTCTACACAAATAAAATGAGATAGCTTATTAAATAACATGAAAATATGTAGTAACTAAATTGTTTTTTTTGTTTGTTTTTTAAACAAGTTTATCTAAGGGATGGGGGTGGTTTGGACTGGGTGCCTTGACTAGTTGTTGTTTCCTTTGGGGGTCAGTTTTGTATAGCTGTATTTCTCCTGCTGTATTCCTGATTGTGAGGCAGTTAAATAGCTGTCTTCCTCAGAATATACTAGGCTAATTGCAAGTATAGGTGCTTGTTATTGATATGGCTTATAAATATTCCTTAGAGGTATAAGTATAGCTAATGGGTCATTTGTTTTAGAGTACAAATTTTGACTTCATCTGGAACCTTTAGTGACTGGAATCTAAACCTCTTCTTTAAATAACTGAGGTAGACTCAAGATAGTTTGAAATGACTTACCTGTCAAACGGATACTTAGTATCAGAATTGCAGATCTTCTTTCTTAACTTTTCAGAACCTAAAAACTATTTCCTTTTAAGATGCTCTATGAATAAATCTTGTGCTCTACTTTGGTTTAATCCTCAGCCCTGTTCTAGCTGGTAATCAGGGCAGATTTTCAGTATCATGTTTTCATGCGTAGTTGGTATAGAAATACACTAATTTCCTTCTCTTAGCAAATGGTTTAAAGACTTTTAGTGTGTATGTCATTTAAGTCCTGTGTTTAATTTTTGTATTCTTAAAACCATGCCAACTTCCATTTTATTATCTCTATGCAAATTAACATCTTTCTCTCTCAAGTCTTTTTGGGTACTTATGTTCCTGGTGACATTTCTCCATGTAGTGATTGAGTAATTAAGCATTTTTTGAATGGGAGTGCTATCTCCATTTTGCATGTGATCAATATTTTGGGATCAGTAAGGGAAGAATTTTACTAAATAGCTTGGAACTTCTTGATGAACTTCCTTATAGACTGTTAAATAGTAAATAAGGAGAAAGAGTGTTGGTGTGATGTTTTTACTGTTAATTTTTCTTGTGACTTGGCCAAAAATGAAAAGGTTCCTCCCTCCCAAATTTCTAGTGTTTTATATAATGATCTCACAAAGAACCTTTTTTGTTTCTGAGCCACCTTTCTTGGTTAAATTTGAAGATGGCTTTTTTCTTTATATATGTGTTTGAGGACATTTCTCTTGTGTACAGCAGTCATACTATTAAGACAGACTTTATTGCATCCAATCGGTCGTCATACAGTATTAGATATTGAGGCTGACTGTTAAACACTCAGTAAATGTGTAAAAGGTATTTGACATTGAATAAGTGCTTTCTTTAGATATATAGAATTCTTAGAGTTAACAGTAGGACACTGTTCTCATAATGTTCTCATTGGAGAAATGATAGAACCAAAGGTCAAATATTTGTAATTTCACTTCAGTTACAGGACCAATTTAATGAATTTATATTTAAAAGTTGATTTTTAAGAAGGCTTGAAAAACGATATATTATTGATCACATAAATTTCAAATTAGTGTTTTTCCAGTTCTAAGCACTTGTTCTGTACTTCTTTACAATGGGCTACCTTTACATTTATTCTTAAGAAGCCACTAGAATAGAAATTTGACTTACATCTGAGAGAAAGCACTCCTTTTGATTAGATCAAAATGGACATTATCTAAGCAGATAAGTGAGTACCCAGAAATTACAGTAGGTGTTATGTTGGCTTAAAGACTATACTAATCATTGAATAAAGGTCATACCCTCGTATTCTAAAGCAAAAACAAAAAAACAAAAAAAAACCACTTTTTCATTATTGACCACTTCCTATGGGACAAAAATAACTTTTTTTTAAAACGGAGGATTTGGTGACTAAGTCACTGAACCTGAGTTTTAATTAAAATACCCCTGGTGAAATGACACTGTAACCATATTCTGCATTTTGGAGTGACAGATACATACAACTAAGATTTTGTTTATTTTATCCAGTATTTCTTGTGGATCCTTAGTATGTATTTTCTAATAATCCCATTCCTTTCAGTATCTCTTTAATAAACAAAATATAAGATAAAAAAGTTTTAGGATGAAATGTGGAGTCAGTTCTCATTTGAAACTTTAATCTACTTTAGCATTAAGTATTATTTATCATTCACTTTTATTTCAGTTTTCTGTTCCTGTTGGATTTTGAGATTGAGCCACATAAAGTGATACTGATAATTCTATGAAGTTGTCAAGTTTGTAGAGAAGATGCTAAGTCAGTGTTACATACTAACTTTGATACATCCTTTGCTTATTTTTCCTCTTTAGGTTGTTAAACATTGTTCTATAATTTTACTTAACTTTTCTTTTAGATCTTATTGAATTAATTGGTGGTCTGAATGATGTAATTGGTGATCTTACTCTCCTGTGGTTGTTTCTTCCTGAAACTTTTGAGTCTTGGGACTAACTTCTAATTGTTCCCAGAATTAAAATCTTTTGGATGATGAAATTATCTTGGTTTTACATTGTTAATGGCACATAAAATGTTCAGTTTTTAGAATGTCCATATTTTAAAATGACATTGCCTGTAACAGTTTGAGGGAATATTTGAGGGCCTAATATTTGAGGGCTGGTCATTCTTATAGCTTAAAACTTGGTTTAATATACAGGAGTCTGACCTGGCCGTTGCCTTTTCTCATCTGCAGGTGTGTGTGGTTTCAGCGCAGCATGGCTGTGGTCATCCGTTTGCAAGGTCTCCCAATTGTGGCGGGGACCATGGACATTCGCCACTTCTTCTCTGGATTGACCATCCCTGATGGGGGCGTGCATATTGTAGGGGGTGAACTGGGTGAGGCTTTCATCGTTTTTGCCACTGATGAAGATGCAAGGCTTGGTATGATGCGCACAGGTGGTACAATTAAAGGGTCAAAAGTAACACTATTGTTGAGTAGTAAAACAGAAATGCAGAATATGATTGAACTGAGTCGTAGGCGTTTTGAAACTGCCAACTTAGATATGCCACCAGCAAATGCTAGTAGATCAGGACCGCCGCCTAGCTCAGGAATGAGTGGCAGGGTAAACTTGCCTACAACAGTACCTAACTTTAATAATCCTTCACCCACAGTAGTCACTGCTGCTACTTCTGTTCATGAAAGCAACAAAAATATACAGACATTTTCCACAGCCAGCATAGGAACAGCTCCTCCAAATATGGGGGGTTCCTTTGGGAGCCCAACGTTTAGTTCAACCATTCCAAGCACAGCCTCTCCAATGAATACAGTCCCACCGCCACCAATTCCTCCAATTCCAGCGATGCCATCTTTGCCGCCAATGCCATCTATTCCCCCAATACCAGTTCCTCCTCCAGTACCTACATTGCCTCCTGTGCCTCCTGTACCCCCAATTCCCCCAGTACCGTCTGTGCCACCCATGACTCCACTGCCACCCATATCGGGCATGCCACCCTTAAACCCGCCACCTGTGGCACCACTACCTGCTGGAATGAATGGTTCTGGAGCACCTATGAATCTGAACAATAATCTGAATCCTGTGTTCCTGGGTCCATTGAATCCTGTTAACCCTATCCAGATGAACTCTCAAAGTAGTGGGAAGCCACTTCCCATCAACCCTGATGATCTGTATGTCAGTGTGCATGGAATGCCCTTTTCTGCAATGGAAAGTGATGTCAGAGATTTTTTCCATGGGCTCCGTGTTGATGCAGTACATTTGTTGAAAGATCATGTAGGTCGAAATAATGGGAATGGATTGGTTAAGTTTCTCTCCCCTCAAGATACATTTGAAGCTTTGAAACGAAACAGAATGCTGATGATTCAACGCTATGTTGAAGTTAGTCCTGCCACAGAGAGACAGTGGGTAGCTGCTGGAGGCCATATCACTTTTAAGCAAAGTATGGGACCTTCTGGACAAACCCATCCCTCTCCTCAGACAATACCCAGGTCAAAATCGCCCAGTGGGCAGAAAAGGTCAAGGTCAAGATCACCGCATGAGGCTGGTTTTTGTGTTTACTTGAAAGGGCTACCATTTGAAGCAGAAAACAAACATGTCATTGATTTTTTTAAAAAGTTGGATATTGTGGAAGATAGTATTTATATTGCTTATGGACCCAATGGGAAAGCAACTGGTGAAGGCTTCGTAGAGTTCAGGAATGAGGCAGACTATAAAGCTGCTTTGTGTCGTCATAAACAGTACATGGGCAATCGTTTCATTCAAGTTCATCCAATTACTAAGAAAGGTATGCTAGAAAAAATAGATATGATTCGAAAAAGACTACAGAACTTCAGCTATGACCAGAGGGAAATGATGTTAAATCCAGAGGGTGATGTCAACTCTGCCAAAGTTTGTGCCCACATAACAAATATTCCATTCAGCATTACCAAGATGGATGTTCTTCAGTTTCTAGAAGGAATCCCAGTGGATGAAAATGCTGTACATGTTCTTGTTGATAACAATGGGCAAGGTCTAGGACAGGCATTGGTTCAGTTTAAAAATGAAGATGATGCACGTAAGTCTGAACGCTTACACCGTAAAAAACTTAATGGGAGAGAAGCTTTTGTTCATGTAGTTACCCTAGAAGATATGAGAGAAATTGAGAAAAATCCTCCTGCCCAAGGAAAAAAGGGGTTAAAGATGCCTGTGCCAGGTAATCCTGCAGTTCCAGGAATGCCCACTGTGGGAATGCCTAGTGCAGGAATGCCTGCTGCAGGAATACCCACTGCTGGAATTCCCACTACTGGAATATCCGGTGCTGGAATGCCTGGTGCTGGGATGCCTGGTGCTGGGATCCCCGGTGCTGGGATGCCTGGTGCAGGGATGCCCAGTACGGGAATGCCTGGAGCTGGAATGCCTGGTGCTGGGATGCCCAATACTGGGATGCCCGGTGCAGGAATGCCAAATGCAGGAATGCCCAGTGCTGGAATGCCTAGTGCAGGAGGTGAAGAGCATGCCTTCCTGACTGTAGGATCTAAGGAGGCCAACAATGGGCCTCCATTTAACTTTCCTGGTAATTTCAGTGGGTCAAATGCCTTTGGCCCACCACTACCTCCTCCAGGATTAGGAGGGGCCTTTGGTGACGCTAGACCTGGTATGCCTTCAGTTGGAAATAGTGGTTTGCCTGGTCTAGGACTGGATGTTCCCGGTTTTGGAGGTGGACCAAATAATTTAAGTGGGCCAGGATTTGGAGGAGGCCCCCAGAATTTTGGAAATGGCCCTGGTAGCTTAGGTGGCCCCCCTGGCTTTGGAAGTGGCCCTCCTGGTCTTGGAGGTGCCCCTGGACATTTGAGTGGGCCACCAGCCTTTGGACCTGGCCCAGGTCCTGGTCCTGGCCCAATCCACATTGGTGGTCCCCCTGGCTTTGGATCTAGTTCTGGAAAACCAGGACCAACAGTGATTAAAGTACAGAATATGCCCTTCACTGTGTCTATTGATGAGATTTTAGATTTCTTTTATGGCTATCAAGTGATCCCAGGCTCAGTGTGTTTAAAATACAATGAAAAAGGTATGCCCACAGGCGAAGCCATGGTAGCCTTCGAATCTCGGGATGAGGCCACAGCTGCTGTCATTGATTTAAATGACAGGCCTATTGGCTCAAGGAAAGTAAAACTTGTATTAGGGTAGCTATTCATATCAGTTCTTTATAAGGTAGCTCTTCATAGTGCTGTGATAATGCATCCAGATTGTTTTCCTAGTATTTCCAGGTTAGAACCTGTGGATTGTTTCAATTGCATATAGATTGGTTTTCATAACATATAGTATTGGTTGACTGTTTACACAGAAGACTCACTACCAGGATAAACATTGCTGTATGTTACAGTAAAGCTATCTGGAGAGAACACAAAAATGATTTTGGCATACCATTAGAGAATCTATTTGTAAAACTCAAATGACCACATAAAGCTTATCAAGGAGTCTAGATTGGTTTTGTTTTATACCATATGGGATGAAGAAAATAGAAATGTCAATAGAGCTCATTAAGGGTGTTCTTGCCAGCTGCTACTATTGGAATTTGGTTTAATGCTGGACAGATTTGCTTTGTTATAGGATCAAAGCTTTGTCTAAAGTCTTCATTTTCTTTTAAAAATTAAATAAAATCTCTGTATACAGATTCACTGTATGTACCTTTATTGCTTCTTGAGGGTTATTGCTGTATAGAGAGTCCTGCTTCTGAAGTTGCTGCTTTGTTTGCCTAATTGACTCATTTGTAAATGAGCAGAACTGTTTTGTTGTTGTTCTTTTAATATAAAACTCCACACTTGGTTTGTGCTTATAACCTTGAACTCTGATTTCTAATGTCACACTTAAAACTGTGTGGAATAAGACTTTTGCCACAAAAATAAAATATGGAGACCTTTACCCACCAGAGCCTTTTTGGTTTGACTGCCAAGCTTAGTTTAAAAAATTGTTCATGTTGTTTGGATGGCCTCAAAAATCAGAAACCATTTTTAATAATCACTGTTTAAGGTGCTTTATTTGAAGTCCATCCATGGATTTCCAATGTTCTTGCAGTTTCCTTGTGTCCCAAATTTATGTGAAATTTTGGTCTGTAAACAAAAAGGGTCCATTCATAAGAAGGAGCATACTATCTAGAGCTTTTAAACTGAACTTGAAATTGTTAGCTTTGTTAGTAATAGTGTTACAGAATGAAAGATCCATAAGCTGGTCTGTGGATTTATATGCATTTAATCCCGTTACTTGGAGACTTGGGCCTAGCTGTTTGATCGGGATCCCGTTGGTAAAAGTTCTTCATATCGTGTATTGAATGCAACTACCAGATGGAAGAGAATTAAGATTCCTTTCCCTTTTATATGCTTTTCTTTGGCATTCAGGACAGTAAGGCAGGAGGACCACATGGGTTCTGGTTGGTAAGTGTCCTTGTCATAAAAACATTTGCCTTATAACATCCTGCTCACTGCCACAAAAATGCTCTATTTATGGCTACTTTCCTTCTCAGTTAAAATGACCTAAGGATGTGTCATAAACGTGGAATGGGAGATTGGTGAGAGATCATGAAACCAAAATTTTTCTTTTACATTGACCTGTTGTGGTTTGAAACATTCCCAACATTTCCTAATCATTGTACTTACAAAGAGGTCAAACTTCTAAAAGAAATAATTTACTATTTAAAAAAATAATAGTGCCTTTTTGGTGTTGCAAGTCAGAGAAACACTGAAATACAGTGTCTTGGTAATTTAGATTTAAGAGTAGCAACAGTTTCATTGGTGTGATAAGATTTGGAAAGCCTTTTCATCCCTACAATCTTAGAGGACTGACAGTACAGGCTATTTTGTTTAAGGAAAGGGTTATTAGAGTTTCAAAGAAGACATGGCTGTGTTGTGGGTCTTTTGATAATTTATGAATATATATTTGCTTTGACAGATCACTAGTTAACTGCCTCCTCAATTAAAAAAGCAATATGTTGTATATGCTGTTCAATATAAGTTTTCTGTTAAGTAATTATTTCTCATTCCAAAGACAGAGTACAAAAAACTTCAGCGCTGCTTGGGAGTCTTAATTCAACTATTTTCCCCTTGGAAAGCCGACTATTTTCATTTTAGAAAAACGGGTTGTTTAAAGATGAAAGTTTTGTCTTTTTTTACATTTTATTTGGTTATGTGTTCGTAATTCTTATTAAATATCTCATACACTTTTATTGCAACTACTTTGTTATTTCTACATCTTAGATAAATACTGAGGAAAACGTGATCTCATTGTTCATCAAATTAAATAAATTAATAGTGGTTTGTATAGAAACTGGAGAGAACTATGTTTCACATTTGGTTGAATCACAACAGTGCTTTTCTTGTTGTGAAATGTAATTAAATGCTTTGCCCTCTGGAACTTGATTTTTGTGTATCTGAGATTTATTAACAGTGCTAACTGCTAAGCATATTCATCTTGTTCTGGGCATTGGAGTTTGGGGTTTTAAACAATTTTTGAAACTGTTCTATGAGATATTCATACCTCTTTTCCTGCCAGTTTTCTCATGAGAATTAGGTTTGAGGTGAAAATGAATTCGCATTATTTCCTCATCTACTTTGTATGGCATGAAGGATTTGTAAAGCTTTTTGCTCAAAGTTGTGTGCATTTGTAAACACTATCATGATATTTTCAATTTCATGTGTAAATTTTATTGTCTGTTTTTGGTGACATTAATGGAAGAGAATCTTTTTATTAGATTTATTTTTTCTCACTCTGCTGAGGTTTTTTTGGTTTTGTTTTAAGGGGTTAGCAAAATCTACAAAATGTATTTTACATATAAGCACATTTGTAAACTTATTCTTAACGTTAGTGAAATACTTAGTTTACAAGCAAAAATTGAAGTTGTGTTCAGTAAGCTTTTTTTTTTTTTTTAATGCAACACTGCTAAGTGAAATGTAGTTCATTCCTAGCTTTCTGGTCCAAGTTCTCAAAAGCACTGAGAATGAAAATTTCCCTAGGAAACTTTCTATTCAGAATTTCACAGAGTACTATTTGGTGTTTCAGGTCAGTTTTAACCCTCTAAATGGAAATCTAGGACTGTATGTAGAAATTAACAGACACACTTTGAGTGGAAATTTTTCGTTAAAAATAAGGATTCATGAAAGCAATCAAACTCAATTTCCTATTACTGGATTCTGTCATTGTGTGCAGATGTGGATCAACTGTTTTAAAAATCGCATCAATTTCAAGAACACTTTAAAAACTAGTGAAAAATGTAAAAATTAGTGTCAGTCAAATCTTCTGGGAAGAATTTCTGGCAGTGATCACTTTAAAAAAAAAATTCTCACTCTTATAAAATTGCTGCATTTAAATTGTTTTACTGGCAGTTGTACAAGTAGTCTAGATTTTAAAAGCCAAACACAATAAGATGACTTGTTGCCAATATGGCCACAGCACTGCCAACAAATACTGCCTTGGCATCATTCAATAGAGGTTTTATTTATCAAGATTAAGTCATAAATATTGTTAAATAAACTTGTCCTTAAATAAAACAGGCTGATGCTTTAATGCTTTAACTGCACAAGAATATTTTACTCAGCTGGAACACCAGAATTTTTTTGGTGACTTCTGAAAATAATTTTGTGCCTTTGGAAAGGTGGAATTGGTGATGATGTTGGAGGTAACGATTGTTGTTTATCCTTATCTACTAATGCTGAAATTTGGAAAGAAGAGGATGCCAGGAACAGCAGGGAGGAAACTTAATTCTAGATCAAATCTATGGTATTTATCCTTACAGACCTGATTTCATGTGTTTTGCTAGCAAGCCACTTCATTCTGTGGACTCAGAACCAAAATCACCATGCTCCTTTTCAAAGGAGGAATCTTAAAGTGAATTGTCTGTTATTAAGAAGTCATTACTTTAGGAAATGGGAAAATAAATTTGCATAGTGTATTGTCACTTACACAGGCCTGAAAAGCTTTGTTTTGTTTTTGCATAGGTGAGGTTATTTGAAGTGGGAAAGAAAAGAGTCAAAAATGTTGCTGCTTTCTAATTTTGATGCTCTAGTTTTGTCCCTTCCACATTTGTTGAAAAAAATAGCAAATGAAGTTTACAAAAATTCGAGTCCTTTAAAAAAAAAAAAACTTGATATATCAGTTGCAAAGAAATTGCGGAGCCGTCCTTTAAACTGAAGCTGTTGAAACATGTTTGTAACTTATTTTTATCGTTTAAGAGTTGTAGCCTGCATTTGACTTTGAATGCCTAATTTATTTTATTAGAGGTGTTTAGTCTAGACTTACATGATTCCAGGAAGCAGCTTAGCTGTTTTAAAATTATGAAGGTTTGATAAAATAATTGAAAAATCAGTGACATCAAGATTCCTACAATTGTCCAGAATGGCCTTTGATATCCTAAAGGGTAGAATGTGTGTTAATAACCTTCTTTTCTTGCTCTAGCAAAATCACCCCTATAATTTGCTATTGTGTGTTTGCAGTTTTACAGCAAGAAAACTTTATGAATTGTGTGCTCTGCCACCATTCTCCTCATGCCCCCAAAGTAGAATTTAATGGCATATGATAGAATCCAAACTTACGACTGTCCTTTTTGATTAAAAAAATTGCTTGTCTTTTTAACATAAAATCTGATAGATTACTTTGACCTAATTGTAAAATATTCTAGAAAGTATGTACTATGGTGGTGGCACAATTCTCTTGATTTAGTGACTTTCTGGGAAAACCCGTCTGTTAAGCAACATTAAGTTCATCTTTTATTAGTGTTTGCTCATATAAAATGTTCATTCTTTACTGTGATGTTTCTGGGTTTATTCTTGGTACCTTGAGCTACTTTGTGTCAGAGGATCTCACAAGCATCTCAGAATGTGATACCTTTGCTGGATCAACATAACTAGCAACAACAACTAAGGTGGTACTACTTTTCTACTACTGAAGAAACCAGAAGGGGCAAAAGCCATTGATCTAATGCAGGTATTCTAGCCCTAGAAACAGATGGGCAGCACTCAAATTCCGGGGGCAGGAAATAGTGCTGACAGAAGTCTTAACAATGTTCCTTAAATTCTGTCTAGAGGCCCAGGGACCTCTCTTCAGTGAAAATATGGCTAAAGAGACTAAGCAAACACCATGTAATGTGGTTAAATGGTCCTGCAGAACATCGGAGTGGGCTTACCAAGCTGTTCTGGACATCTGGACTCTGACTAGTTAAAAAAATCTGTCATTTTTCTTCATCAACTGATGGCTTGCCATTTCATGTTGAGAGGAGATATCTATTAATAGAGCCATGACCAACACTGAGTTTTAGTTTTACTCAAATTGAAGACCCCCTCCCTGCTCGCTCTCTCTGGCTCTGGCCTCTGGCTGTGGCCTCTGAATTGGGGTGGGGAATGAGGTAGAATTCACTCTTTGTTCTTGATTTAGACTTAAGATTTGCCACTATTTGCTACATATTAACTACTCTTGCTAACATAAGTCATCTAATAGTCCTTGTAGAGTGGGACAGGCTCAAGAAGTGTAAAGAGATGCAGCTACTTAAGGGGATATAAGTAACTGGCATTGTTGCTCTCTTCCTCATTTTTTTCATGTCTACATGGAACTGGGTTAGAATCACCCTGTACTACATATCTCCCACCCCCATACATGGGGTTGTGGTGCAGACAGGGTCGTTTCTTACATCTTTTAGAGCTATTTGGCTAAGAGATTCTGCTGTAAGTCTGGCTAAAGTAGGGAGATTAACAACTCTTATTGAAGTAAAGACTGCTAGCTACATTTGCTTCAGTGTGGTTAAATTGACAGATTGGAATTGGAGACATCTATTGTGAAGCTTTTAAGGTAATTTCATTTGAATATACAGCATAGCCATATCTGTATCCTATGCTAACTAAAGGTTTTTAGCAGTTCGTTGTGCACCCAGCAATTTACACACTAGTTGAAAAGGAAGCAAAATAAGGTGCTTATTCTTTAAGACTTTACGTCGAACAAGTGCTCAGTTGTACAAGGTATGCTCATGTGCCACAGGAACTCGATAGTTTCCTGGCCGGTTTCTAAATGGTCAGATAGAAGCAAGTGTAATGGAAACCTTACATGTAAGCTGAAGGTGTGATCTCTCAATAATGTTCTCGGGGACACAGTATGTTAATTTAGTAAAAGGAAATGTCTATGAGAGACATCTAAAATGGTGCTTTGGTGCTTGTCCTTAAAGCTTTTTAAATTGTTCAGAACAGCCTAGTTTGATTTCCACCAGCCTGAGTGTCATGACCACTGAATGGTCAGTAAAGACAGGAAGGTAAGGGTTGGGTTTAGAGATGTCCTGCCCTAGCAGAGGGGTAGAAACTTTTCATCTTTTTTAAAAACTGATTAAGCTACCAGATACCACTTAAATATAACACATGCTCCAGTAAGGTATTCAGAAATGCTCCAGAACTAAGTGAATTTTCCCACCAATTTAGCCAGTTGTATGCATAGTTGGTTACCTGAAATTATTTCTAGTGTGGCCTTGATTTGATAGTTTATTTTTCTGTATGAAATACCTACTGGTATAAATCTTTCGTTTTTCTAGACTGATGGAACTTTTTCTAATGGAAATGTCCCTGAACTAATAATGCAGTTATGAGCCACTTGTAGTTAATGGCTGCTGTGTCAAACAGCATAATGTTAGATTCACAGAGCGGTAGGTGTCTAATCCTGGAGACCTCTGTGTTAGACAGCACTGTCCAGTAGAAATAATGTCACTTGATGTATTTCACATGTCCTGGTCATATTAAGATGGTTAAAAAAGAAAATGTTTAACTTCATGGTTCTAAAATATCATTTAAATATAATAAAAGTATATTTTCTAAATTCATTTTATGTTTTAGTCTTGATTTGACCTAAGCATACCTGAAATACTTAATAGCCACATGTGGTTAGAATCTATCCTTCTAGACTGCCTAAATTTAGAATATAAAAAATAAATCACTTGCCTTTTCTCTTTTAATTCTGTCATCCCTTCATCTGTTTGTTTTGTTGTATTCTTCCAGACTTTGGTGTTTTTGGAGGAGAACTTGTGTCACTTACCTGAGTAAAAACAGGTCACACTGGAGATTGACTTAGTAGCAGTTTTATATTGTAAATTCCGCAGCAGGACTTGAATCTACCCCCAGTCCCATTTCTCATTCACAGTGACAAGTGTGCATATGTGTAGTGTAGTTTCTCTACTGTTGAAAATCCTCCCTTTTTTTTATTTCTCAACTTTCCTAACATACAGATTCTTAAGATAAGAGGACTTATCTTAACATCTTTCAAGTACTCCAGATGAGTTTATGCTACTGATGGGAGCTAGTATTATGAATGGTAGGTAGATTTTTCCAAAAGCTCTGTCTGGTCTGCTTCTCATTATGCTAGCTCCTTTGATTTACTCAGCTCCTTGTGCCAT